TGTCACAGCAACTAATAGCCCACCCAAATGTCAAATTTCAATTGATTTATAATGTAGTGTCGTTGAGGTAGGCCACCGGTAAGCACCACTATAAATAAAGTTACTTAAAACATAAAGATATAACAGTTGAAAATTAACAGCGTCCTTTTAAATGTAATAAAATACAGTCCACGCCCATAATAATTCCAGTTTACCTCCTTGAACCAAGTTTTCCCTCTCATCAATTTGAACATTTTTATCACTTTACACTGCCTGTTTCACTGTTGGTCCTGCCTGCCATGACTTATCACTTCCCACTCTTTGTTTTCTAAACACAAAAAAACACTTCACTACACTTCTTTTGAACGGATGCCACCACACTAAATATTCTATAATATTTATCCTGGAATGTACCTTTTAATTAAAGGAAAAATTGTTATTTTGCAACAGTCTCGACACCAGCATGACGCACCGACTACAATGGTACCATACCATACAACGGCGATATTACAATAAGGATGTCTGTTTATCGATCAAAAGCACAATACTTAAATCGATACTTCCAAAAAGGGACTATTTAAATATTCTCTTGTCGTGAAAGTGTTTGTTTTCTGGTCGATTTGCAATAACTTATTAGAGCAATACTAAAATATGTTATCAGTTAATAGGGTTTTTAGTAGATTTTTGATAAGATATTTTTCTTAATATGCCATAATCTTTACAGACTGATTTAAAAATCGTAAACATATCCAAATAAATGTTTTAGAATACATGCATTTTCTATATCTCTAAGATTAATAGTTTGATTTTTTTAATTCTGTTGATATAGGAGATCAGATTTTAAATATAATTTCTGAATAAGAAGAAAGGTCTAAACCATTAATCATAGCACCTTTTGAATGCATAAGTATTTTATTTTATTTCGGACGCTTCTTAAATATTAACAAATGTTAGTTGCAGCAGTTTTTAGCTCTTGAAAGGAACTTTTGAAGTCGAAAGCGACTTCAAAAGTCAACGTAGCTTTAAGAAACCAAACTTTAGCCATCAAGAACTTTATCGACAGGCTGTTGCGCATTGCATCGATAAGTCCTGGGCTGTGAGTGGCCAGCCCTACCCGGCCCTTATCATTGGTCGGTCGCTGCTCGCTCGCTAGGAAGTGCGCCTTATCTGTTTTATTACGCATTCACTGATTACTGGTGGAACCGCCGATCAGTTTAATGAGGCGTAGGTGGATCGTATGCTATGGTATGGCGGAAAGAAATCTGTCTTCGCATGCTTCAATTATAATTAAGTACCTATCTTGTATTCCGAGTGCAGTTGCTGGCAGGATAAAAAAGAATTTCTGAAGAAAACCTTTTCCTTCTTATTAATAAACGAAGACTACGCTTGGATTAGTTACTCCATGTTTTGTTCCTGTCTATTGAATGACAAATGGCATTTGACTGACATGAACAAAAGACGGCGTAACTAGTCTACGCTTATTCCTTGTTTATTAACAAAGAGGGTTTATTTGACATTGTGGGTTACCTACAATCCGAAAAAATGGCGCTGCCTTGCAGCTTAAGAATGGCTAGAAGAATTTCGACGCGGCCGTCAGGGCCGCGGTAGCATAATTGGTCAGTGCATTCGCCCGGATTGCGAAGGGTGCGGGTTGGAGTCCCGTCTGCTGCCTGGTCCGCGTGGAATTTTTTCTAGTTATATTTTCTTTAGATTTAAACATCAAGCAGTTACGTGCTTAAAAATAAAATAAAAATCATAAGGGGGTTTATGTTTACAATGTTCCCAAACTCTGCCAGAAAACTTTACTCTAGCTTAAACTAGGTACATAATTAAAAGTTGAGAATAATTGACCAGGTAGGCATTGCAACTATTGATGTTGACATTTTCGATATATAGGTTTAATGTAATCTGCCAATCCGCACTGGGTCTCCCTATTTCATCTACAGGGAAGGCCTGTGCCCCAGCAGTAGGGACATTAATAGGCTGGTGATGATGATATTTGAAAAATAAATTGACCGATTACAATTATGAAATTAATTTTCCTTGTTTGGAAGCTAACTCTTTGGGCATTATGTGTGGAATATATTGTTTGAACTACCATCTTGATACCTTGTGTCTATTGAAAACTCTTAGCTTTTAGTATTGTCTATTTTCTGTAGGTGGTTAAGGTTTTAGGGCTCCACGGGGCAGGAGATTGAGTTTAGGTCGAAGTAAGACGGCACACTTTTCTGCAGTATTTCCTGTGCCTTAAAGTTTGCAGCAATTTCAAGACAACCTTCCATTCGAAAGAAATATTTTCAATATCTGAGAGTAATAAACCCCATTACAGAATATATTAATGAAAAAATAACTATTTAAACAACAATAAGGGAAAGATTGTGGAATAAAAAGTGAGGCGAAATAATAATATTTATAACTGGGGTGAAACAGGATAAAATTATTTTCAGTGTATTAGTAGTTCTGGAACCCACGACAATGGCTAACTAGAGCTGAGGTTCGAGTCTTAGAGACTCTAGTTGAGCCGAACCCCTCAGGTCCGAGTGGTCTAGAGACTCCAGACGGAGAGGAGACTCTCCCCATGGGGAGATTCCAACCGTATGGAATACCATTAGAGGCACTCGCCACTTCTCGGCTTGAGGTCCCATTAGGATCTCGCCGTCCCTTAACCCGGTAACGCTGTAAATGTCATCTGCGACCAACAGCATACACACTCAAAAAAAGGTAGTTCTGGTAACGATGTCGTTTTATATGTACCATCAACTTAATAAACTGTCTGAAAAACTGTCTTGCGATTGAAAGAATTCAATTTAACCTATGTTATGCATAATAACAGAAGTCACAGAAGTCATACCTACTCGATGTCTATTAAATTGAGTTATTTGAGGAAAAGTATATTTATACGTGCTGACATCTACCGTTGACGAATGGTTTTATTCAATCAATTAATTTAATGGTGGCACCGGATGTGCGGTATTGGCTTGGCCTCACAAGTCGACGCCATATTGCTTTGTAGTCAGTGTTGCCATGCGAACTTGTTTTCTTTGATTTTGGGATAAATTACAATTTAGTTTTGCTTCGTATTCAAATAAATTCGTCAAGGTGGCGCGTCCGCGTGGCTTCATTTCGTTAATTCTTGAGCCTGCCAACACCATACTCCTTAATAAGTGGCCTTTCGCCAATGTGTTTTTTTTTAAATTACATATAGGCATGTGATTTTAGTAACTCTGCGGTCATTACGTGGCGGGACGCGTCGTAGCTCCGGCCCCATCGGCCTGTTCGGATGCTCCCGAATGCCACCCGCCTGCAAACTGCCTGCTGTGGCCTGCGGCGTCAGCCCGCAGACCCCTATCATTTGGATGCAGTATGCTGTGACGCCAAGGGCTGACGCACTTAGGCGTCACCACCGGCAGCGCTTCGTTAAACGTGAGATCTATTGCGGTGAAATCGTGAGGTCACGTAGTTTTTTTCATCTTTTCTTACGTTTTGGCCGAACCCGCGATTGCGTAAGTATCCCGTCCAAACATTCTCCGCTTATCCTAAAGTCAAAGACTTTCTAGTTAGTAAGATTTTGGTTAAGATTGTTGTTCGAATGCGGGCCGCTGCTATGTGACACACGGAATGCAGTAATATAAATTGCATACTAGAAAATCATCATCTTTAATTTATTTTCCTAAGCTACAGCTTTGGTAATCCAAAAGTTCGATATTGCAACCGAAGGTCTATCCCGCTTCCCCATTAGCTGAGTATTAGCTGTTACATTTTCCAATATTTTATAGAAGGAGATAATAAATTTTACGACCTAAAGGTGGTCATCCATCGACCTAACCTACAACAAGCAAATAACTATTAACACTTTTTAAAGTGAAACTTCTTTTCGGACATTTAAAATACTATGTTATTTAGCAAAAAATGATCCTTAGATTTAACCCTTTCGATGGTTATCATAAAATATGTTGTGTTTATTTTTCGAAATTTCACGAGTTTGATTCCCAGTTGTAGCAGGCGATTTAAAAAAAACTGTGAATGTAGTTCTAGTTATTATTAAAAATAAAATGATGTCTTCTTTCAGTAACATATCCTATCTTCAATATTTAATATATTTTCCCTCCGTGTGAGGTAGCCGTGGGACGCTCTGTATATGTGTGTGCGATGCGTGCGCAGCCATTTCCCGACGAGCATGAAAGTTGAAAGGTAACTCGGCGAAGGCTGAAACGCTACGCGCGTCACACGTGACAATATATACATATATATGAGTGATGCGTGCTCTGATCCATTCCCTTATGCCTTATGCACCGCCTAATGTTAGGTTATTTAAGAAAAGAAGTTTCACTTCAGATGTGTGATCCGTGCATTCTATTTTTTTTTTATTACATACGACAATGGCTAGCGATTTTCGATACCCTATTAATGTCGCAAAGGAATATAAACCTACTTGGGGAGAACGCATGTTTAAATTGTTGATTATTTAAAATTTGACTGCGGCAACACCGGCCTCTTGCGCGAGCGCATAATTAATTAACGCGCGCAATAATCGCGCATGAGCAGACAGACATGGCGATGGCGGCTGAGTCACTCGGCCTGGATGTTTGTCACTGTATGCTAATGGCGCCCTTTATTTGTATGGTGTACAATCGACAACCGCCATTGTCATACAATATAGTACCCGCTATGTCTATTAGCATCTAGTATTCCTGAAGGCGTGTTGTGTATGAGTATTCCTGGATTCCAGGAGTGAGGAGCTCGATGGCGCCTATTAATGTCCTCACTGCTGGGGCATGGGCCTTCCCTATGGATGGAATAGGGAGATTGGGCCATGACCCACCACTCAGGCCCAGTGCAGATTGGCGGGTGCTAACGACTGCAGATGCAGCCGGTACCAACGGCATAACGAAGCACGGAGAAACTCGAGATAGAAGATTTTTGGTCACCCATCCAATGAGCGACCACTGCGAAAGTTGCTTAACTTCAACGATCGCAGCCGAACGCTAAGCTTGTTTCTCACCCCGATAAAAACTATTTACCTCTTGGTAGAAATGTGGGATTGGTTTCGTCTCCCGGCGCGGCGGCGTACGGTACTGCGTGATGCGTGGGATGACCAGCGGGGGCCTCTGTTCGCGACTGTACACGGCACACTCTTCCGGAGTTATCCACTGGAACAAAAGGAAACATTATATTATTGGGGAGTTCTATTATGAAATCAAATATATATCAAGCTGTTATATATCAAGTGACCAAAAACCCTAAACTAGCTTCTATTCGAAAGGCTTGTGATTTGGACGCGGCAAAAGTCATGGCTGTTTGTTGAATTTTTTTGCTGCCCTAGACCTTCGGCCCTACTTAAGAGACTGAGCTATTTAAAAGTATTTCACAAGGTGCAAAGTTTATTTATATTATTGAGGAGTTCTATTATGAAATCTATAAAATATCGAGCTTAAAGTGGAAGCGCAGTGGCGCAACAGTTAGCGTGATTAGTCTGCGATTATAGAAGTGACCAAAAACCCTCCACCAGCTTCTATTCGAAAAGCTTATGATTTGAACGCGGCCAAAAGTCATGGCTGTTTGTTGATTTTTTTTGCTGCCCTAGACCTTCCGCCCTACATAAGAGACTGAGCTATTTAAAAGTATTTCACAAGGTGCAAAGTTTATTTATATTATTGAGGAGTTCTATTATGAAATCTATCAAATATCGAGCTTATAGTGGATGCGTGTTGGCGCAACAGTTAGTGTGATTAGTCTGCGATTTGAGAAGTGACCAAAATCCCTCCAGTGATTTGGACTCGGCCAAAAGTCATGGCTGTTTGTTGATATTTTTTTTGCTGCCCTTGACCTTCGGCCCTACATAGAAGACTCGGCTATTGTGGAAGTATTTCACAAGGTGCAAAGTTGCCCCCTTATGTTATTCTGCCGCGCTCGTGTAAATCCAAAAATCCCTCCTCGGGCTGCCCAACTACTTATCATTGCCTTCCAACAAAATTGATAAAGTTCTATCTGTTTATACAATATTCTGTCTACACGGGTAAGTTAACAATTGATGCATATTATATACCTACATATTAAACGCACCTCTTAAAATATCCAAAATAATTCAAAATTGTTTATTACAGACAATCAAAATGGTCCATTAAATCGATAGTAACAATATTTAACTTAAATGTTTTATTTTTAGGATTCAATCAATGATGTTTGGATTCAATGATGTGTGTCTTTTAAATATTGAAATCGTAATAGAAATAAAATGAAATCAAATTTAGACCAAGTATCAAACCAAAATTAATTTATATAATTATTTTAGTCTGACAAATAAAATGTCGTGTAATGTAATTTAATGTACTTAATTGTCAAACAATTTAAATGAATTAATATAATAATTTAATTTTTTATATTCATAAGTATTTTAATTAACTATCTTGTTAATTTTATGTGTTCATATGCAAAATGCATAACAAATATTGGAAAGTCAATTGAAAGTGTTGAAAATATGCATAAACACAAACGTTGAACACTATGTTTTCTTTACTTCACTGCATAAACACAAGATAAGGCACGAATACACGTGCCTTTAATTAGGTAAAAGATATTCATTGAAACTTTTAGTATTGTCACTATTAACTATTAATTATTAGTGAAACCTGATTTTTTTATGGGTGATAGAACTTGGCTTATAGAACCTTTCTGTACTACTAAATCCAGGTTCCACTTTTGCCGATATTTGGAGAAAAAAATTAAAAATCGAAATTTAAAATAAAATATTTCTCGGAAACTAGGACACTTATAAATAAAATAAAATTGCAAAATTATGCCTTCAATAATTCCTTATCAAGTGGCAAATATCTCATGTACAGATATGGAACCGTCTTTTGAGGAAATTAAATTGTTAATTTTTTAATGCTCAAATTTCAAAAACTTTGCTACTTCATATCTTTTTTTTTAATGGAAATAGTGATCTGAGAATTGAACTCTTGCCTTTATTAGGGTATAAATAATTGATTTATGCAAAAATCTTAAGGTGTAAATTTTTTTGGTTCCATAAAACACTGTGCGTCCGTGGTGCTGTTTCAGCGGCCAAACCGTAAGAGATAGATATAGAGAATGTTTAAGTTATAAGTTAAGAATAGTCTGATAAGACTACAAACCGGATGTGAGTAACGTAGCACTTCCGGTTTTCGAGAAATCACGTGATTTCTATTTCAAACGAAACCACACAAAATCTCCGAAGTTCTCAATTAATTAAATACATTTTTTTTTTGGTGAACATTTGGTTCACTGGTTTGCTAGTATGATACTAACAGCTTTTGACGGACATAATCATCATCATCAGCCTATTAATATCTCCACAGCTGGGGCACAGGCCTTCCCTATGGATGGAATAGGGACATTGGCCCGTCACCCACCACGCGGGCCCAGTGCGGATTGGTGGCTGCTAACGACTGCAAATGCATCCGGGACCAACGGCTATAAATTTTTGTTCACCCATCCAATGACCGACCACTGCGAAAGTTGCTTAACTTCAACGATCGCAGCCGAACGCGCTAACCACCTGCGCCATCGAGCTCTTCTACTTTTCTCCTCTACCTTTGGCGCACTTAAAATACCGCCATTCCATGGAGAGCAACCAAGGCATAAGGACACCACAAGAAGGTCAATTGTCTCAATTCAAAACTGTAATGTTACTAATGGCCCACTACTGTCTTAAATTACGAGCATTACAGACACATCACGGATTTGTTTATTTGGCAACTATTAAATTTATATGTTTTAGTGCTTTCACCGTAATAACGTTAACTGAGTGGAGTTATAGCCAAGGGCGGATCCAGGGGGGTCATGGGGGTCACGACCCCCATACCGACCAAAACGTAGCCTTTATGTTAACCCACGGTATTAACAAACTCCATACCAAATTTTATTAAAATCGCTCCAGCCGTTTAGACGTGAAGAAGTAACAAACATACACACTCACACACTCATAAACTTTCGGCTTTATATTATTATAGTGTGACTGTTTTCTATAAATGATAAGTTCTGATTACTAATAAAACCTAGTCTGGTGAGACCTTGGAATGTTTTCAATTCATACCTATCTATATCAATTGCGTTTGCGCACGTGTGGACTCTAGGTACACGGAAACCGTCATTTGCAATGCAACAGACATGCGATGACTACAATAATATTTTATAAATAACTAGCTGACCCAGCGAACTTCGTACCACTATAAAAATAGGAGCAGGTGGTAGAAGAGAAAATTTTGGGTTGAATGTATTTTTAATACGACATTATAAAAAAAAATATTAACAAAAAAAAATTAGGGGTGTGTAACGTAGTGTTCTATCAATTTCCTGGGATAACATTCCTCCTAACCTATGGTTGAGAACACTACGTTACAATACCCAATAGTTTGAATTTTGGCGCGAAGGCACATTGTAGGTTTCAGAACACTACGTTACAGGTGGACAACCATTATCATATATGCATATAAAAAATAGATAGTAGCCGATTCTCAGACCCACGGAATATGCATATAAAATTTCATAAAAATCTGTCAGGCCTTTTCGGAGGAGTATGGTAACTAACATTGTGACACGAGAATTTTATATATAAGATAATTTCGTTCCAAAGCTCGCTGCTGTTTTATTATCAACTAATTGGAGAATAATTTAGTACTCATATATTATTGTTCCAATTGCTTATACCCTTCTCCATTCCTCGCATTTTCTCCATACCAAATTTATCAAGCTCGTTTTAACGATTGAGACATAAAAGTGCAACAAACAAACAGACTTACTTTTGCATTTTACAATCAGTTTCGAGAGTAGGTATAATAATTTTATTATAGTAAAGAACTTTCCGTCCGTTTTTCTTTGCTGTTAAAATTTAACTATTTAATGGTGTCGATTCTGGCACGATTCTCTAAATCTAAACTTAAACTTGACAACAGTGTTTTCTTGTCATTCTCTATACAGAATGAAAAAGAGAGACTGATGTTAAATTTAGTTTTAAGTTTAGAGAATCACGCCAGAATCGACACCAATAGTGTGGCTACGGGCTGTAATGGTCTATGAAATATGAGAATTTTATTATAATGTTAAACCAATAATTATTCATCGTCGATTCACACTAGTAACTGATAAAATTTTTAAAAAAATATTTCTCTATTGCTTCTCTAAACTGTCTGTCCTTTTCATTCTGAATAGAGATTGACAAGGATACACTGTTGTCAAAACTAAGTTTAGGTTAAGAGAAAAATGCCAGAATCGACACCATTATCCCCATAAATTTGCTTATATAATCATCCGAAATTTCCAAATTGCAATGAACATTACCAACACAGAGATCAAGTACCGTCATCATCATTATAAAACATCCAACTATGAAGAGTTACACGGCAAATACCATTGACATTTGGATCGCGACCATCGCTTCTCGAAGCAATTCAAACGCAGGTATCGATGGATAGCCACAGACATAGATCGAATTAAAAATCGCAAGTGTGTGTACTTCGCATGCCAAAAGGGAGACAAATGGTCATCCAATAACAGACGTCAATTATAACGTTTAAAAAAATATTGTGTGCACGGACCACCCATCTAAAGTGAAACTTCTTTTCTTAAATAACCTAACACTATGCGGAGCATAAGGCAAAGGGGAATGGAGCGGCGTACGCATCACTCATATATATGTATATATATATATATTGTCGCGTCTGACAATCGTAACGCTTATAGCGTTTCAGCCTTCGCCAAGTTACCCTCCAATTAGTTATGCTCGTCGGGATGAGATACGCACGCATCCCACACACACACATTCACGTTTCATATTTTCCATAGGATTTTTCCATTTATACCTCGTCTGAAAAACTTAAAAAATATCTAACAATGTCACATTAGGTTATTAAAACAATATAATTGAAATGGGTGACCTGGGCCCATGGTTTTTCACCATTTATTTGTCCTCGTGAGTACTCAAGATCTGAGTCGCTAGGATTCCATGAAATTTGGAGTACATGTTGCGTCTACCTCAATCTAATGGGTCTGATCTTAGATTAAAACATTGTTTAATCTTATGGGTCTGATGAGATAGCGCTCTACACTGCCTATAGTTGCGTCTCACTTAACAATCGCATTTGAATAGCTTTTAAAGTTCACGGTACGGCCT